AGGAGTTGGTGCAGGAGCACACAATTCAGGAGGGATGTGGAAATTGCAGTCAGGAGGCCAGAAAGTACTAGTGGTAGTCATGTCTGGCAGACTGTAAGTTCAAAATTCATTTATAGTGGATTTCTGACAGGCAAAGCGCTCGAAGTTTTTACCTAGTTGAGGTTTCTCCGTGATCATTCTGGTTATTTATTTATTGCTTTCATATAACTGTGGTAAGTCAATATAGGAAAATTGGACTGTATCATTCTGGTTATTTATTTATTGCTTTCCCATACTGCAAGGCATACATACCTAAGAAAGATTATGAGAAAGGAAAGAAAGTGGAAGGCAAAATTTTTACTTTAACTCAGAAAGAGGCAACAGAGGATCCGAATGTAATGGCACGTATTATATAAATATTTGAAGTATCTGCATATGTTCTTATAGACTCAGGAGCTACCCATTGATTTACATTTACCACATTTATTGTTAAATCACATACTGCAGGTGAGAAATCCGATAGTGTTCTAGAAATTTCTATCCCATCCGCTAGAATTTTGAACACCAATCAGATCGTTAGGGCAGTAAAGTTAAAAATGGATGTAAAAGAATTTATAGCTGATCTATACCTCATTAACATGAAAGATTTTGACGTTATTCTAGAAATAGACTGATTGGGAAACAATCACGCTTCCAACTAAGTTGGGGCTCAAATGCGTTGTGTGTTAACCGAGCTTCCAACTAAGTTTTTTGCTACAGTAATTGCAACATGCTTTCCAAATATCAACTCCATTTTGAACTTCATCTTTTTTACGTGTCATATATTGCCAACAATCCGATGATTTTCTTTTCGAAATTTTAATCTCAAGTACTTATTCCTCTTCGACATCCTTCAAATCAATTGGAACATTTTGAAATGCACTATAGCCTGATGGAGTACTCGAACTACCCTTAAACTGATTAATCGTATCGCTAATAAAATCCATATATAGAGCTATATTAGCAAAAGATATTAAATATTAGAGTAAAAGAAACTGAATATCAGAGTAAACAAATTGGAGATTGAAATTGAAATTAGAATACTACAAAAAAATTTATAAAACTCAACTAAATTGGAGATTTGAGTAAAGAAATTTGAGACTAGAATTAGAGTAGAAAAAAACAAGACATTGATTGAAGTAAATTGATATGAAGTGGTAAAAAATTTCGAATATTTTTAACAAAAAAAAAACATTTTTCAAATTCAAATTTCAAAANCAAGCCACCTTGATATCACTAACCAACCCTTGAAAAAGCACGTGAACAAAATCTAAGTGGTAATGTTGAAGCCTAGAGTTTCTTTCAACATTTTCCAACGCAAGTTTAATTCTTTGCGATACACTTTGAGAATAGACTCTTAAAAAGATGTTGGCATTTTCTTATTTTTAGGATTTATGTTAGCATTTATGTAGAAACTACACAATGTTGTTTGATATGATATTTTAATATCATATAATAAATATGTTGATAAATTTTTTTTACTTCAATTCATTTGCGCACAACTCAAAAATTCATTGCTCCACTCCTCATCATTTTTTCATTATTTTCTTACTTTTACAGGGCAAGAAAATGTTATCTTTGTTCGGGAAGAAATTGAAGATGTCTAAAACATGTCGCATATTCTTCAATGTCAACCTGCATCTAGTATCAGTTTGAAGACAAATATCACAATTTCCCACAATGTAGGCAAAACTGTTATTACCCATCTTCACCCTGCCAAAGTTACCCGATTTGTATGAAGTGAAGAACTCCCGTATTGGAATAACATGGTAAGAAGATGTTGAAGGAATAACCTATTCAACATACGAATCTACAACATGAGAACACCGATCATCTTCAGCAGAAAAAACTGCTACCACTATTTCCTCATCTGAAGCATTAGCTGATGTATTTTGATCAGTCTTCTTCTGATTTTTCTCCTCTTTCAATTTATTTTTTCCAAGCCACGCAATATTTCTTTATATGACCCTCTTTATCATAATAAAAACATTTAACATTTTCTCTTACCTTTGACTGACTTCTAAAGTTGCCACATCCCTTAGGACCATTACTTTTACTCCTTGCTCTGCTCTCTGTAATAAGAGCTTATGCATCATTCCTACCCAAGTCTTTCCTTCTTATTTCTTCATTAAACAAACTGTCTTTAACTAGAGTAAATCCAAGCACACCATTCAGAGCAGAGTTACTAAGTGATACCACCAAAGTCTCCCAACTATCTAGCAATGAACTCAGAAGTAATAGTGTTTGCATCTCATCATCTATCACTATTTTCATTGTGGTCAACTGATTTACCAAATCTTGGAATTCATTCAAATGCTTCAGCAACTGATTTTCCCTCCTTTAACTTCAGATTCACAAGCTTTCTAATAGTAAAAGCTTTAATTTGAGTGGTCTTCCTCTCACAAAGACCCTCTAGTTTTTCTCAAAGACTATGAGCATCTGTCTCTTGAGATATATGATGGAATACATTAAGATCAACCCATTGTCTAATATTTCCAATGGCTTTCCAGTTCATCTTCTTCCAATCACTGTCACTCATATTGCTTGGTTTAGCATTATCACCTTTAACATGTTCATGTAAATCCTTATAATCTATAATAAGCTTCCAAATAGAATAATTTGAAGCCGATAATTTAATTATAGTGCCCAAAACATTCTCCATTTACTTCTGCAATGGAACCACACCTATACAACCTATGCTCTGATGGGCAATTTTCCCTAATAGCAAAAATTTAAATGACAGCCCCAAGCAAATAGAGATAGTGAACAGGTAAGTTCAGCAGCCAAAATTGAAGAAAGCAACACAAGAAAACACATCAATGTTTTGCGTAGAAAACCCTCCAGTGTAGAGGGAAAAACCGAGGGGCAACTTCAACAAATTCACTGTAATAAACGGAGAGTACAAAATTCAAGTTTATGCCCAAAACATGAACGTAAGCAAATTGAAAACAACAATTGAAAACTGCTTCGATTTCGGCGAATATTTCAATGACCGTTCCACAGTTGATTTATTCCGGCGAATGCTCCGATTCAAGCAATTGTTCCAACTCAGGCGAATATTCCGGCAACAACTCCACCATATTTTGTTTTTGTACATTTGACACGATTTTTGACCCTTGATTGTTGCTTGTGACTAGTAATATAAAATGTGACCTACAAAAAATGACTTTAACTTGTGACCTCAAACCTGTGACAATGATTTGTGACATTAACAACGAATTATTTAGCCACAGTTAACTATCAAATTAATTGATCATACTGATCAATGGCCCATTTATATTGATTTGGGGCCTATACAAAATGATAGTGACTTGTGAACTCAAACCTGTGACCAGTAAACTGTGACCTTAGCAACTCATTTATTCATTGCAAATCGATCACAATTTATCAAATTATTGGTCACAACTTATTTTATGGTCACAAATCAAGAATTTTATAGGTATTGCCTATTCACAAATAGAAAATTTTATAAGTAACAGCTTATTCATCGATCACAAAATCAACATTTTTATTGGTCACAACTCGATTACAACTTAATAAATTGTGAGTCACAGTAACAATTTTTATGCATCAATGACAAATTCAAAATTTTATTGGTCACAACTCATTTATTTTATTGGTGACATTCTCAAATTAATTGGTCACGCATTATTTTTGGTCACAAATCACATTTTATAGGTCACAACTTATTAAAATAATAGGTCTCGTATTAATATTCGATCACCAGTCACAAATTTTTTTATTGGTCACAAATTATTGAATTTTAAGGTCATGGTTTAACAATATGTCACATCAATAACTTTTCCTTCTTTTTCAACCACATATTAAAAATTATTATAGGACACAAGTAATTTTTAAGCCACGAATTAAATTTTTTATAGGCTATAGATTGAAAAATTCAAAACTTTTATTGGTCACAACTCAAGTCACGGTCACAATTTTAATTGGTCACACTCGATTACACACACAAAGTAATCACGGTCACCTCCAACCCCATATCGCCGGAACACGCCCGACACCCACCACCGTACGCACGCACAAAATAATCGTGACCACCAATAATCACAGTCACCAATACGCACAAAATAATCAGTGTCACCTGCAACCTCATCTCGCCGCACGACCAACACCCACCACCGCGCGCGTGCACGCACACCACAACCTCATAGCAAAACTACCACCGCACACACCATCTCCCGAATCCAGATGCAGTACTTCCAACTCTCATTTCACTACCATCACCACCCGTCAACCACAATGGCGCCACCATATCTGCCACATTCAAAACCAAAACACAGATCTCATCTCAAATCTAAACAACTATTTATCCAAAAAAATCTTTAAAAAAACCCCAAAATTTGCGACGTTGTGCAGATGCTGATCGACACTGTGGCTTCTGAGGCGGTAGATGCTGGTCGACACTGCCACTAACACTGGCTCCCAATCCACCAGGGGATAAAGTCAATGTAATTTCGTAATTGGGTTCTCTCATCCACCTCCTCGCACTCAAACTCCTCTTCTCATTTTCGGTAATCGACCACATACCAGATCTAATTGACTAATAGCACTGCGACATTTTCCAAAACTAGATCCCATCATCTCTACGGTTGCGAACCGCCAAGGCCATTAGCGCTGCCGTGATCCACCATACCATTAGCACCGCCACTCGCGCACGACAACGATTGCGAACGGGTATCGAAAGATCGAAGGTGCACTGCGGAGATTAAATCGGAGTTTCGTGGTGTAGGGCCACCGTAGCGATTTGTGATGGAGGTGGTGGTGTCGCCGGAAANTAATATTTAATTAAATATGAAATATCTAATTTTTGTAAATTTAAACTTCAGATCTGATTTTAGAATATAGATCTTGAAAAGTAGGGAAATGTGTAATTTCCACTAAGAAAAATGGCTCTAAGAACTAATTATCGTGCTCTAGACATATTTCATTTGAAATTTTCATTAATATTGCAGGTTTTGGAGGAAATGAGGCCACCATGTTCTTCCTTGTATTCGCATTACTGGCTTCTGTTTTCAAGGATCGTGTCAAAAATTGCCGGGGAGAATCATCTACAGGCTTGGAGAAACAACAGTCTTGCTGCGGCTGGCTCATCGTCTTTAGTTGCCTACGCCGTGACTACATTCGCTTTCGGGTATCTATTTTATTTAATTCTTTTGTAAGTGCTTATTAATCTCCACTCATTTAATGCCAATTTTATACTTTTAATGTGCAGTTTGGTGTGCAAGGAGATAAGCATAGGACGGTGGAAAGGATGGAGGTTAAGGATAGTTGAAGCGTAGGGTTCACTCAACTGATCTATGTTCAGTTGCTCCACGCCGGGTTTTTCAGCAGTCGATATGGACGGGGGTACGGGGACCCTGACTATAGCATCGGAGCGCCGGGAGCTGAGCATGTACCCAAAGATGGTGGTGTCACTGGGACTGGGGTTTGAATACTTAGATGAGAAACCATGTTCAAGTGTTTGTACTTTTGTGAATTTGTTGTTAATTTTTGGTTGTGCAAGCGAATGGATTTGACACATTTGTTGTCAACTTCTGGTTTATGCAAATGGTTCTAGTGAATGACCCGTGTTTTAGAATTAAATTGATTACACAGGATCAATGACATAGGTTATTTATAGGTGCAGAAATTACAGTTTTTTATTAGCAGATTTTTCTTTTATTTTTTAACTGTCAATGAAATTTTGTCAAATGTTATATCTATATAAAATCTTGTCATTGACCATGTTCCTGTAGCAAATTTGCGTGTGTTATGGTCACGTGTTCTGGTTGTTGTAAATGGTTCTAGTGAATGACTCGTGTTTTAGGGTTAAATTGATTGCACAAGATCAATGACAAGGGTTATTTTCAGGTGCGAAAATGGCAGCGTTATATTGATAGTTTTTCTTCTATTTTTTTAATTGTTAATGAAATTTTGTCTAGTGTATATCTGTATAAAATCATGTCACTAACCATACTCCTGTAGAATATTTGGTGTTTTATGGTCACGAGTTTTGGTTGTTGAAATATTCGAAAGGTTTTTCCCTTTTGAATATGTCATTATTTTCTCCTTGGTACGAGTTTTTAAAAAGTGTGTTCGAGAATTGAGAAATTTCCCATTGGATTGGTGCTAATAATAATAATAAATAGAATAAAACGAAAACTAATTTTTTGTGAACCAGCCGATTCCTGATAACCGAAGTTAGAATCGTTTTTTTTTTTTGTGGTAACGTCAATTTACAAAACCAAAATACACATTTCCCTTATTATTTTCATTTATTTATTTGAAAGTAAATTTTATGTATTTCTAGTGTTTGTATGGATTGCACCATAAGTTACTCGATTATAATCTAATGAAGATGAGTACTCACAGTAGTAGTCAGGGACGTAGCCAGGATTTCAATTTTGAGGGAATGAAAATACGGGGGGTGGAGGGGGGCAGGCCCCCCACCCTGGGGGTTCAGGGGCGGAGCCCCCGAATTTATTTTTTAACTTAAAAGATTGAAAACAGCGATTTTGAGTACCAAAATAGACAAGTAGATTGATTGACCAAAAAGACAATCAGTTGGTCGATACAAAAATAATAAGTCCATCTATGTATCTAACGCCATATAAATTGAAAACATGAACGTTAGATGGACATCAAAAAGACAAAAGGTAAACTGTCTATCTATATAATAGATGGTAGAGATGACTTGGACATCTGAAATTGGTCTTTCCTCGTCCTCATCACTTCAAACTCGTCAATAAAAGAATCTAATGAAAAAGTATGGTACTGGAGTCGCGGGCCCGTTGCACAGTCACCTGTCACGCAGAGAAGATTTGAGAAAAAATGAGGGGTGTCTGTAGTCGGGATTACATTTTGTGGGCTATGGCTTATGGGTATGCTTTTGGGTAATTGATTCATAAATGGGTCATTTGCTTTTGGATTGAATTTGGGCTATTTATTTATTTAAGTAACTATTGGATCTTTTGTTTAGGTCTAAGACTTTTGTATGGTTGAATTTTAAAGTGTAAGTTATTGCGTCAATATTTATTAATGGAAAAAATAAATAAAAACTTTCAAATTTTTGCGGGTGTGAGTCAAAAATTTTGCAGGGGCAAAACTGAAAAATACATTACAAATTAACTAGGAATAGTGGACCAGCGGACAATGTTAAGGGAGCGGTCATCCCCTGCCCCCTATCTCAGTCTTTGGTAGTAGTTCAGGTTTTACAATTATAGGTTACTGGAATATAATCCGGTGAATAAGTTGATATTAATTGTTAGTTTTAAAAAATGTATAGTTAAATTAAAAGTTGATTATAATTTTTAAATTATAATATGGGTATACTGCTGGCAGGCAATAAAGTTGTTAATTTGATGGATTAGCGTGCATAGAACGAGACTAGGATTGGAACACTAGCCAAGCCTTTCTTATTCGTGAAAAGCGAAGATGGTACCAATTAATTCAACGCTAAATTGTTGGAGATATTATACCCATAATATGAAGTAATTGATCACAATAACACAAAAACAAAATAATTTGTAGAGAATTGAGATTTTATTATAATATGGTCAAGGAGTACAAATATTTTGTATTTACAATATTTCTAATTTCATATAAATCATAATGAAAAGCCAACTATATATAAGGAACAAATATGGGACATTAAAATTCTACTAGTAAAGTTGGAGTTAAAATAGAATTTAAAAGTCCAAAACGAAGTATAGGATGAAAAATCGAACATGGGGGAACAGCTAGGAGGCGCCAGGCCAAAACCTTCCTAACGCCACAACAATGTCCCCACGACATCAGGCTAAAACCATCCGGTGCTGCGACGATGGACCCACGGCGCCCACTTTCAAATCCTTTACTTGAAAACTTGATTTTCTTCATCGAAATATCTTCTTCAAGTCCAACACAAATTTATACTTCCAATTGGCTTTCCAAGTTGAATTTCAATAAGAATTCGACAATTAAATTTTTTTATGATTTCCCAATACAATTTCAAATAGAATTCTTCTACACTTTAATTAGAACTTTCAATTATATTCAATAAAGAATTCGGGTCACACCCAAATTCTAACAATCTCCACCTTGACACGAATTTCACTACGATGAATAAAACTTCAAAGAAAAAATTCTCCACCTGAAGAGAAATTCTGCTACAATGAATAAACTTGAATTCTTCAATGAAAAATATAAACGAACTTCTCCATAAAAAAATTTCCAACTGAAAATATTTTCCACATTTGCTACCCCCAACTAGGGGCAAAAGTGATTTAATGGCTACCAAATAAGGTTGAAACAAGCTCTTTAATAGAATCACAACTGAATGCATCAAAAGAATGATCTTGACTAGAATCAATGCCCTTAACCGCGTTCAAACCATTAACTAAATCAGCATAATTGTATCTATGTGGAATCTTAAGGCAAAATGGGTTTATTACTAGCAGCTGAATACAATGACATCGCTGATAATGGTGACAAAGCAAATTTACCCATAACTTCTAAATTCGACGAAAATATATTCCTTAAAGAAAACACCAAATTAAACTCCAACATTACATAATACAACTTCAAATCCACCTGAGGTCTTAAAAAATGACAATTGCTCAAAACCTTGTATAACACAACAAGATATAAATGAGATTTTCTATATCTCTTTAACAAACCACGGGTTCCTTTATTGACTTTTAGAACTCCACCTTCAATAGTATAACGTACCCTTTGGAATCAAGAAAACTTAAAAAGATAAGATTTCTCTTCAAATTTGAAACGTATCTCATTCCATTAAGTGTTTTAACTGTCCCATCAAACATCTATATGTTGACCCTACCAATACTACCTATCTGACAAGGTGTTAATTTATAGGTCATCACTATACCTTCTATAACTTCTTCATATGTTGAAAACAAATCCTAATTAGGAGTCAAATGAAAAGTATAAGTTGTGTCAAAAATTCAAATCTCGTCAAGTTTGGAGTTGTAGTCGAACACGAGTAAAAGCTCTCCATCACTGTTAGAATTTTCTGTAATACTTGCTTTCCCTGAAGTTTCTGATTGTTGATTTGCAGTCAAATTTGATTTATTGTATAACTTATAACAATCGTTTATCAAGTGCCCCTTCTTCTTGCAATAATTATAAAATTTGAAGTTAAGTTTTGACTTGCCCTTGAATGAAAAAACTATTAACAATGAGGCCATCTTCTTGACCCTTGGATGTAAAACGATGCTTCATCAACTCCTTTGAATATAGAGCATCATAAACTTCTTCGATGGTGAGAGTATCACAGCTATATAAAATGTGTCTCTAAAAGACATGTATGAAGCGGGCAATGAACATAATAAAATTAATATCAAATCTTCATCATCATATTTGACCTCCAAGGTCTCCAAATCAGCAATGATTTTCTTAAAAGGAGCTGGGTGATCCTCAAGATATGTACATTTTGTCATACGATAAGAATATAGGTGTTGCTTCATATGTAATTTACTAGTAAGACTCTTCATCATGCATAATTGCGCCAATTTTAAGTATAATTGCTTATTTTTCCTTTAAAACGTCCTGAAGAACATTATTTGAAAGATGAAGATGTATTTGAGATAGAACCTTTCGATCCTTCCATTATTTCTCCTCAAAAGTCCAGTTGTGGGACAAATCCCAACAATGCATCGTCCAAATCCATCTGATCGAGTACTGCTCGCATCTTTACCTACCACAAAGATAATCTCATATTGCAATCAAATAGTGAAATATCATACTTCATTGTTGTCATCATGAAAAACCTCAATCTTTTCAAAAATTTCAACACCAAAAGCTTTAGTACCAGTTTGTTGGGAAAAGCGAAGATGATACCGGATTAATCCAATACCAAATTGTTATAGAAAATAAGATATTATAGCCACAATATGAAATTATTGATCACAAGAACATAAGAGCAAAATAATTTGCAGAGAATGAAATTTTTTTATAACATGGAGAAAGAATATAAAGATTTTGTACTTACGATATTTCTAACTTTATACTAAATTATATTGAAAAGCCAACTATATAAGGAATAAATAGGGGACATCCAAACCATAATAGTAGATTTGTAGTCGAAGTAGAATACAAAAAACGGAGTAAAGGAAGAAAAATCATGCAGGGAAAAACAGTATGGTGGAGCCACAGAGCCGAACTAAAACCTTCCGGCGTTGCGATGACGGCGCCGTAACGCCTACTATTGAGTCCTTTACTTCAAAACTTGATTTTCTTCATCTCAATGCCTTCTTCAAATCTAACACAAATTCCTACACCAAATTGGGCTTCCACATAGAAGTTCAATTAGAATTCACCTATTAATCTTGTATAGGATTTTACAATAGCATTCCAAATAGAATTCTTCTTAATATGCACTTTAATTGGAACTCTCAATTATCTCAGTTTTCGTGAAAGCTAATTTAGCCACTCATTTTCTATTTGTCATTA